AGGAAAAATTGTAAACGGTGCAGCATCCTTTTCAAGAAGGAGCAAAAGACTCCCTGGAGGTGTAGGGCTTGTGATATTCCATTATGTCTCCAGCTTGACCGAAACTGTTTTGAGAAATGGCACACTGCTGAGGGTGATAAATTCCAAAATTGATTCTTCTGATTTTAACAAGGCATTGACTAGAATGTGTTCAAGAAAACATTTTTATTTCAAAATATCAGAACATTGCATTATATGATATACATTTGTTTTGTTAACACTTACAGGAAAGCTGTATTTGTCATGAAGTAATGATTGTTTCAGCAATGGACATTTGTTATAATATGCGCTTCCCCACCCCTACCCTCTGGCACCCCCCCTCCCTGTTAACCCTTTATAGCTCGTTGACCATTGTAGTGGCCTGGCCTATGTTCGCCCATAGGCCACTGGAGTGGACCAAAATAGTTCACTTCTATTGAGTGATTTGATTAGTCAGTTTTTTAGGACATCCACCAATCAGAAGAAAGATAAAAGCTCCTTTGGGATTTTATGGCGTCACATCAGACCACAAGTTCAGAGTAAAAAAAGTATACAATATGGCGGCAAGAGGGTTGGGTTGTTTGATAGTAGCGATGAAGAAGGGTTTTGGGGGTTCACAAGAGAAGATATTCCTTTGAGAGGCGAAGAAAGCGATTCAAATGCCAGTGGTGAGAGTGATTTTTCCCTTAGTGAGGCCAGTGAAGAGGAAAGCAGTGAGGAATCAGAAGATGAAGATGCAGACGAGACGCGTGGAGTCGAAATTTACGAAACGCGCTAGTAAACAACTTTGAAAAAGACACTGGCCCATCAAATATCTTTCTGCCTGAAGTGAAGGCAGATAGCTTTTTACATCAAATGTTTTCTGAGGATTTGATAGATCTAATAGTGAACGAAACAAATCGAAATGCCGAACAAAAACAAAGAGCTTCTGGTAGGCAAGACAAGGACTGGACTCCTGAGGACGCTGCCGATATACCTGCGTATTTGACGATTAGAATTCTTCAAGGAATAAAAACTCTGCCATCAGAACGGCATCACTGGTCAAATAACAAGTACCTTAAAGTGAAAAAGGTCAGTGATACGATGCCTCATACTCGGGACATGAAGATGAACGAGTATCTTCATTTCAACGACGGTGCAAGAGCGGTTCCACGACGTGTGGACTGCCATGACAAGCTGCACCAAATTCGTCCTCTGATTACAAGGCTATCAATGTTTTTATGCTCGGTGCGTTGGGAATTATGCGTGCGATTGGAGGTTACGTAATGCGTACTGCATTCAGGCGTGTTCATCACGCTTATTGTTGGGTTGTGTTTAAATAGGTTCACCACGTGTTGTGCTCTTACTTTAGGTCATTTCAGTGGGTGTAATCGACCGTCACTTAGTTTCTTGCTTGCTTATCATGTCTGATAAGGAAGGCGTGGAGGATCCCAAAGTTATCTCTGTTGGGTCTTTTGAAGAATTAAGGTCTTACTTTGATCAAAAATTTTCACATTTAAAACGTGAGCTTTCTGATGATCAACTCAAATCGTCTTCATCCTTGGTGAAGAAACTTAAGACCGAAACGAGCTTAAACTTCAAGTTTAGCGGCAACAAGAAACAGTTCGAGTTTAATACTGAGACTTTGGAACACGTCACTCAGAGTCTTTCTTTTGTCGATTCGCTGAAATCTCTGGTCGATCTTGAAAACTCTGAGAATCATCAAGTTTCAGCGCTGATTCTTAAGCTCGACGATTCCCTCAACGTTGCTTCAAAGGCCATAAAGCGAAGAAACAAGCTCATCAGAATAGCGGATAAATCGGAAGCTGGCTGGGCCGCAGTCGACGAGTATCTTTCTGACGAAGTCGCTTCTGGTTCTGAAGACGAAAAGAAGATCCGTGCTGCGGAGCAGAGAGCGTTGCGAAAGAAGAAGAACGCTCGCAGCGCGAAGTCGGGACAGAAGTTGAGTATTTATTTATTCGTTTCCTTTGCCCGTTCTTTATTTTCTTTAGCATTTAGGAGGTCGTATTATACCACTGCCGACCTATTCCTCCTATATAATTAATTCATTATTGTGTATTTGCTTGTGTGTGTTTCATTATTTCAGAGTTTAGAGCATAAATAAGTTATTTTCGGTATGCAGTTTAGAAAATAAGATACATTTTCCACCAGCTACAAGCCAAATAGAGAAAATGCAATCGACGAGGGTCTCATAAAGTTCAAAGGAAGGCTTTGCTTTAAACAATACATGCCTTTGAAACCCGCCAAGCGTGGAAATAAAGTTTGGATCCGTGTGGATTCGGTCAGCCATTTTGTGTGCCAGTTTCAAGTTTACACGGGGAGGCCAAATCAAGGACAAGGACATGGGCTTGGAGAGAGGGTTGTCAAGGAACTGTCCAGGGACTTAGTAAATGGCAATCCTCATCTTTATTTTGATAATTTTTTTTCATCATACAAGCTCGTGAAGGACCTGTTAGAGGATAATATTTAGGCCACTGCAACC